TATCCATCCATCAATCAATCTATCTATCTATCTATCCATCCATCCATCTCTTTATCTATCCATCCATCAATCTATCTATCCATCCATCCATCCATCCATCTATCCATCCATCAATCCATCCATCAATCTATCAATCTATCCATCCATCTATCTATCTATCCATCCATCCATCCATCTATCTATCCATCCATCTATCTATCCATCCATCTATCTATCCATCTATCTATCCATCTCTATCTATCTATCTATCCATCCATCCATCTCTCTATCTATCTATCTATCTATCCATCTATCTATCTATCCATCTCTTTATCTATCTATCTATCCATCCATCTCTCTATCTATCTATCTATCCATCCATCTATCCATCCATCCATCTATCTATCTATCTATCCATCTATCCATCTATCTATCTATCCATCCATCCATCTATCTATCTATCCATCCATCTATCTATCTATCTATCCATCCATCTCTCATTTCTTATGTTTACATACATATTTGAACTCTAATTCATGTTTTTATTAAATGTTATTGTAAAATGGAGCAACTGTCATGAAACCCAATTTCTTCTTGGGATAAATAAAGTATTCTGGTTTTGATTCATAAAAAAAATACAGCTCAAAAAGTGAGCACAATAACATGAATATATTGCTATCTTTTTACTCTCTTGCACATAAAGCCCCACAATTTGATCAAAGTTAAGCAAATCATCAGTTTCCACACTGGATGTTCGTAGTGCTCCCAGAGATCCCTTCACATGCAGAGGATAGTTCTAAACCTGTTAAAGTGTGAAAGGTGAAACTAAGAGTCTCTCCTTACCGCTGCAGCGTTGTTGATCCTGCCGTCCACTTCACTCTGATCACTGAAACAGGAGATTTGTACATTATCTGACTGCCAAGTAGACTAATGAGAAACACTGGCTCCTACAAAGAACTAGAGGGAATGAGCTGGAGTTAAACAAATTAAAACGACAACAACTTTCTTAATCTCATTCTTGAGAATTTGCATAAGAACGAGCTGCGTGATTGTAAACATGGTCATAGTAAACATTAGGAGAATTTGATTTATTATTCAGAAACCTTCCCTTTGGTTCAGCGATTCCCAACTGATGCATCCCCAGATTAACTTTAATCAACACCACGATAAACCACGAGGGTTTTATGCTATTCAAAGCTACGCATCTTAAAAATATGATGTTTTTATATTACTTTTTTGGTTTGGTTAAGTTTGCATTCATACAGATAACAAACCACTGGGAGTGGCAAAGCTCAAAGTACAAACCATTATTAATAACTTTGATCTACTATTTAAATATTTAATCATTATCTTTAATAATTTAAAAAAAATGTATGATTAGCTGCCTATTTAAAAATACTTTAATCCATTACTTTTAGCTAGCTTTCATCTGTTTTTCATTACTTTATGCTAATTCAACAGATATTTCCTATTTTTTATCTAGCTATTTCAACTGTGTCATTGCCTTTCTGTTTTACTATTTGAAATGTTAATTATTTACTTTTAGCTAACTAATTTAACAGTTTTTTTCCTTATTTTTAACTAGTAAAGCTGGTATTTGTTCTTGACTGCCTGCTAGGGAACTAGTTTTCATGTTCTTTTCAAATAACCTAGGAATCACTGTATAAATAAACCCCCAAAGTAAAATCCTTGCAACTTGTGTTAACTCTTGAAACAGTGTTTGTGTACCTCGGTCTTTGTTGAGTTGAGGCATTTATTCTGGGAGATATTGCGTCATCTGACTCACTTGTACCTGAAAAGAAGAACAGCAATAAGTAACCAGAGCATCGAACAAGAAGAACATATACTGTACATACTCTAAACATGTGTGTATCAATGCAGGAATACTTACTGAGTCTCGCCATCTGACTGGACACACTGTCGGCTTTTGAGAGGCTGAACGAGCTGTCGTTTGTAACGG